GTGGTGTGTGTGTGTGTAGTATATATATATATATATATATATATATATATATATATATATATATATATATATATATATATATATATATATATATATATATGTATGTATGTATATATATATATATATATGTATATATATATATTGATTTTAAATTGATTCCCGAGATTGTACATAGTACTGCTGTTGTGTTGTACGTGCGTTTAAATCTGTTCTTCGCATTAGCTCCAACCAGGTGGATATGTCAATAACACCTCTCGTTTGAAGCATTCCCCTTCAATCTACAATCCAGATTTCTCCTGTTTTCCGAGCTCGGCTCGTGTGCCAGTAAATGTACCGTTATGTTTTTTAAGTCGACTCTCGCATATACCAATTCGTAGGCAGCATATGCAAGACACACAACGGGACGGAGATGGTATGCACGCGGCCCACGCTCGAGAAATACGTGGAGCTCTATCTCAAACGCAGTGCTACACCTACTTATCCGAAAGATGCCATGGCCATTATGTTCATGCTGGATATATCTCCTGGTATGCGCGTATTGGAGGCCGGTAGTGGCAGTGGGGCACTGAGCCTATACCTCGCAAGGTGTGTGGGTGAGCGAGGGAGTGTCGTCAGTGTGGAGAAGAGGGAAGACCACAGTTTGGCTGCGAGAGCTAATTATAGCTTGTGGGCGAAGGCACACTCGTTTCCAGATAGGATTGTAGACTGGCATGTGGGCGATATGAGCGCGGATACCGAAGGTATGGGTTTGATCGTAGCCTGCTGAGAAGTATTCATTCACAGTATTTCTCCCGTAGAGGCATGCTTCATAATATGTTGATATTTGCAGCGAGTTTCGATCTAACCTGAGTTCTGATGTGTTTCTTACTAGACACTTTTAATTTAGTTTATGTGACTGCACACGGCTCGAATCACATTATACTCATGTCCGGTACAGGACACTCTCTTAATGCGGCATCTTTCCATAACTCGGCTGTTTGAACGCCCTCACCCAAATATATATTACACACACACCAACAAGTGTATCAGAAGTCAACACTCCGTGTAAAAAAAAAATGCTCATATACTTGATCCATACAGACCAATTTCTGTAGGAAGCAGCGTGCAAGAAACTTTACAATGCAGGCAACCGAATAAATCACTACTTTGAACAATCTGCTAACAAAAAATGTAGAAGCATTACGGCCATCAGAGATCATCAGAGCCAAAAAACTGTCCAAGGAATTGAGTGACGAGAGTTTCGATGGTGTGGCATTGGACATGGCTGAACCAGGGCCCAGTCTCGCGACAGTCGCACGCGTACTGAAACCAGGACGTTTTGTGGTGTGCTACCTCCCTAATATAACTCAGGTATATACAATTTTGAAGTGTGGTGATTCCACTTTTGTATTTATTCCGTGTAAGAAGCGTATGCATTTGAATATAATGGAGCTACGCGAGTCAATGTACTGTTCACTGTAGATGCGCTTGTCCTAAATCTACATATAGGCCCGGTTTCTAATGAACAGTTGTTCTGAAAAGTATGATTAAGTCTTAGTGAGACAAAATGCATGGCACAATTTAATCCATTTCGATGAGGTAGTTGTCAAGTGACCTTTTATGTATGATCCATAGAATGGGGTTCGTGCAGCTGAGCATGTGGCCATATTCCGTTTTCTCCACATGCAAAAAATCTCCTCTGTTCGGAGTTATATACAAAGGTTCAACACGTCAACCCGACCATCGTGAAATGCATAATAAGAGATGTATCAACCACACAGGTACTTCAAACATTGAGTATGGTGAAGATACAAAACTTGAATTTGCAAGTGGTACGCACAGTAGAGTGTCAGATGCGGAATTGGACCTTCGAACCTAATCCTCGGATAGTAACCAAAGCTATGCGTCTTAAGGAGGATTTGCCAGAACAGATTATCACTGTAGCCCGCCCATCGCATGCGCAAGATACACACACAGGTAATTTGGCATGCTATCGCGAACATTAGCATAATGTAATCTGCCCATACGTGAATGATTTTTTGTCTGTATGTATGTATATATATATATATATATAATGTCAGTGTCTGTGTCTGCATGTCTGTATGTATGTATGTGTAATTATGTATATATATATATATATATGTATGTATGTATGTATGTAAGTGTATATCTATATTTATCTATATATATGTATGTATATATATATATATATGTATGTATGTATGTATGTGTATATCTATATTTATCTATATATATGTATGTATATATATATATGTGTGTGTGTGTGTGTGCGTGTTTTTGTGCGTGGGCGTTGGCGTATATTTATGCATGTATTTTTACGAACAATTCGCACTTCTGCTACTTGGTATATACATCATTATCCGCCCACCAAATTTATGTTGACTACAAGCGGCTCATCACACATCTGTAAACCTGTCGCTACAATTGCAGCCTTTTTGGTGCAATTCACCAAGACAGCGTAGGCCTGACACGAGCAGTCCGCTATCTCGATGGCTCGTTCGACGCTATCGTGCACGGGCAAACATGACCGTTCTCATGATATGATATAAATACCATGTGTCTGAAGGGGCCAGCCTATATGATGATTATGCACCAGTAACGCATCAAGCAGATCAAAACGGCATAGTTAACAGCACTGCTGTGAGTATTTATTAATTTTGGGACGGGGCACAACAATCAGAGTGCTTCCTGAGCCCTACCGCGTTCTGGCCCGAACGTGAGCGTGTAGGGAAGTCCGACATGTCGAATCGAAGCACTAAACTACAACTTAGAAATTTGTGACCTGTCCTGACTTATCTTCTCGATTTCGGCCCGTATATAGCAATTGAGCTAGCTTGAGCTTGAGGCACATATGATTCAAGCCTTATCGTGCTGGTAGTTGTCGCGCTCCTCACCCGAGTTATATAGCACATTTGGAGCTCGATTCGATTTGCATCTCCGTGCCACCATAGGAATCGTTTCATCGATTAAAATCGTCCACTGGTTAACCGTTCGCACTTTGCACGTGAGACTTACTTTTAGATTAGAACGAGCATCCGCTACCTTCGAACCTTGCTTGCTTCTCTACGGATCCACCAGCAGAGCGCTCACCTGTGACCACGTCTTTGGTGTACGAGGTAACCCAGCAATCTGTATCCGCACACTCCTCAACATCTTCACAGTCCAGCTCAACGACGAATCTATTGTCCCACTCCACATCCGCTACAACGCTAGGGTCAACTGTCGTAGCCAGTACAACATCTTCCCATTCTGGCTCATAGAAGCGATCCTCATATATACTGTCGGAATCATCCGGATCAACGAATTCGTCGAACGGTCTGTTTTTATAGATGTTGATAACCGTCTCAAGATGGTTATCAACTGGTGAAAACACTGGGTTCACATAAAGCTTGAACTTCGTATCGTCGTCGTTGACCTCCTCCACGAAGATTGGATCGAACATGATAGGGGGAGGGTCGTCATAAGTAAACTCTTGCACGGCACCTGTGATGAAATCGAATTGGCCCATGACATTGGTATGTGGTGACAGGTTATAGTTCATTTTGACGGGATCAAACTCGGCGGTCGTACTCTCTACGGAATCCCATGCACGAATTCCTAGAACATCTCTGTCAACTTTTCCCGACTGGAAAAATGGCTCCAATACGTTGGCATGTTTTGTGATCAAACCCTCAATCGTATCTCGCGCAAAATAGCCTTCCTGTAGTTCACGAACTTTCTCCTTATACAGAGGGTAGAACTCATCCCTCAATTCGTCATGGAACAAGATCCCTCTAAATAGGTAGTGATCTTGATAACGTTGTGGTGACGATGCCTGAGGACCCATATCCATAATCGGCTGCCAACTCGCATCGTAGTCCCAGGGTGTCATGTACCACTTATCTGTTCCTGTTGTACTGTATATGTAGCTATTCTTGGCACTGTGATCTATATCGCCACAGAGAACGTTCACGGCCACAAACGTGGCGAGATTGTCCATATCAAAATGCTTGTGGACAGCGTCGACGAAACTCATGTTGCCTCTATCGTTTAAGTTTTTCATAACCTCTTGTAGCTTCAACGTACTCAAACTATCTTTAGCTTCTAATCTGTACTCAAATTCGAACATCGCCTGCTCGTCAGTTTCATCGATTACTGCGGGCATATTGTCGTACTGGTCCTTCCAATTGAAGTCGAATTCATTCAGTTTATATACGTGTGACTCTAGGCGATCTCCGCCAAGTGTGCGAGCTGCCTGGCCATGACGATCTAAAGCATCCTCATCTATGTTTTCAAACAGATTGTACCTTCCCATGTTCAGCACTTCGATTATTTCTTCAGAATCTGGGTCCACCACTGTAACGGTCAAATTAGCGACTGTGGTTCTCATGCCGTTCCAATGCTTCATCTGAGCGAATTGTTCATATAGGGCAGTGGTGATAGCTCCTCCTGTTAACTCCCAAGGCATCTTAACCATATTGAGCCGTTTCAACCCCCTCCATGTCCGTGGTACAATTGTCTTACCAATTTTGATATTATAACTCTTGATGCTCGACTCTCTTGAGAACCCTCCCCTTACTGCAACATCGCAATTCACGTCCGTGCGCGGTTGTCGATCACTACTATTCGCCGCATTAACATTATCGTACCAAAATTCTGGTTCGTCGTCTACATCTATACTTACAGAACATGGCATGGTCGCTTTAGTTAGGTCTCGACTTGTTTCATCCTCATTTACATCGTCCCAGGTGCAGTCACACTTCTCATCATTGTGAGCTTCCTGAAATTGCCAGCATTCACATTCACTTGAAGATGAGTACACGCGGAGGTGCACATTCGTTATAGAACCAAATGGTGGATTCTGTACGTAAGCAATGTCTCGATCGTACAACCCTGAAGAAAAATCGACAACCGTAGGCATTGTGATCTCGTCTGTGAATACATTTTTACTGAACGGAGTCTGGGTGCTAGTAGCAGCCCAGTCGCCACTCTCAGTTTTGGCGTAACTATGTCCAGCGACATACGCAACGTTATTCCAGTCAGCCACATCCACTATATCACCATTCGGGTCCACCAGTTCCAGATGGCCTGAGGTCTTGATTCCATAAGGCAGTTTACAATTGCCATTTTGATACTCTGGATTTTCTGCATCTTCGTCTACTAATAGGAGATAATGTTTTGCATCGATGGTGCCGCAATCGCCGGTAAAATAATACATCTCGTCGTCGCTAACTAGTGCGAATCCAGACAAATCTATTGAGTTTTCTTGTGGATTGTACAGCTCCACCCAGTCCATAGCACCTGAATTGATCTCGGACAACTCCGGAGATAGGACAGTAGTGGTGGAGCTTACAGGTACTGAGTTGGAAGTCGCAGTAGGCGCTAAGGCTGAGTTTTCGGATACTAAAGTAGAGCCAACAGTTGTATTCAGTGTAGCGGTCGGAATAGGCAAACTGGGCTCTTCAGCGTAAGCAGTGACATTAAGCCCTTCAGTAGAATTTACAGGTGCTGACGTTGACGCTTCAGTTGTCATGGCAGTGCCAACAGGCTGTGCCAGCCCACTTGACATTGCTGACAGCCATATGGCTATACATTGAAGTGTTTGTGAACTTAACATCTCCTGAAAGATGTAGCTCTGACTCTGTAAGTGTTCTTTCTGTTCTGATGCGCTCAAAGCGAATTAGTGTGTATTTATGCAGCCATCCTAGACGGAAATATTACACAAGAGAGGAGTATTTAGTCCGATGACGAAGGTGAAGTGGGTTTTCTCCCCATTCTCATTCATTGACTGAGAGACTACTGATGGAGGCCTCTCCCTCGGCCTCTTCTACTACTAGAGTAGAGAGAGCGCCCCAGACCCCAGCTCAGACCCAGGGCACAATGGTGACCGCGTGGAGTGTGGACCGTGGAACCAAAGTATTTTCTTTTTAGAAAATCTAAACTTCAGGGTTATCACAGAGTCTGGAGTCAATGAGTCACAATTCACAGAAACACATGTGTGCGAGTCTAAAATCACACTGTCCTGACTCCTAAGTCCAGGACTCCAACGGCCCAGGAATGGCCAGGATGTAGGCTGTGGCCTGACAGCCTACTGGCCTCACTGCTGGTTGCGACAAGTCAGTGAGTCACAAACTCACAATGCCACAGAGTTGCAGACCAAGGCGGCCACTCAGGCCCTACTAGGCGGTCAGGCCCCAGCCAGGGCCCAGGGACCAGGGACCAGGGACCAGGGCCACGAGTCCTTAACTTACAACTCGAAGGGCTAAACCTCAAAACAGTTTCCTGTTAAACGTTTATAAATCCAAAAAATAGACGTTTACGGTCTACTTTTATTATATCATATGCCCCCCTACTATGAAATGGGTTACAGTTTCTAGGTGCCACAGTTTGTCCCTGCACCAAATCGCTTAGTTGGCGCCTGAAAGAAGCTGCCACTGGGACAGTTGAAACTGTGTTACAGATTCTAACTAGCCCATTTCGTGTCAAATAGATCGAAGTTCAAAGTGCAATATATTACAATTTTGTTTGTAAATTTGCCCTCAATATAATAAAAGGTCAATCGTTTATTTTTTTTAAATCATGAAAGTATACGTTTACGGTCATGTTTTATGCCTAATAGGCTAAATAGTAAATACCCTGACCGGATTGAAGTTAGCTCACAGCCTCTAGCGGCACAGCCTCACAGCGGCACAGCCTCCCAGGGTGTGAGCAGTTCAGCACTCAGGCCTCAGCACTCAGCAGTGTGCGTGAGGGACTGAGGTCTGAGGGCTGGAACCCGGAGGCCGGCGGAGGGCGGAGGGCGGAGGGCACAGCCGGCCCCTACTAACAGGTCACAGGAGTCACCGGAGTCAGAACTCGGAACAGAACTCCTCTAGCTAAGCAGACTGAGTCTCGACTCTCGACTCTCGACTCTCGACTCGAGGTCCGAAACTCCTAGGACTCGGATTCTATTTTGTATTTTTATCAGACTCGTATCAACATGTGTTTGTGAGAGATTGACTGTGTGTAACTGTGTATGACTGTATGTATTTACTTTGTGGTGATGTTCTGGCTTCTGAGACTCTGTTCTGAACTTCTGACTACACAATTTATATATCTATTTATATATTTATTTAAAATGGGAAATTGTAGTCATTCATTTTGTTGATAGTTCAGTGTTCTCTGTTCTCACTTCTCGGTGTTCTGCCTTGGCTTTTATTCTGCCTTGGCTTTTACCACAAAAAATACACATTACACAATGACCAAATCTGGAAACTATAAAAACCAGAATATTAATTGAGAGTATTCCAGGTATGCCCAAAAAAAACAAGGCAATGCATATTTCCAATTTTGAGTTTTCCATGTGCCCAACTGCCCAACTGTCCAAGCTAGTTTTAAAAAAAACACAAAAATATAGCTGAACTCCAAATCACCAATTTGGCAATGCCGAGGTACGCGGCTGATATTTTAACATCTAATTTGTTGTTTGTCACATGTAATTATTTGCTCATTTGTCTTTTCTACGTTATTGTTTTAAAAAACAAATGAAAACCAATTGTTTCACTCTGACTGAACTTCATGAGTTTGGAGTCAGAACTTCAGTAAACACAAACTGGTATTATTATTTAATTTTTTAAAAGTCATAAACCCCAATTATGTATTTATATATATCCTTCAGGCTGGCTTCATCTTGATTCAATAAGACAAGTCAAAGAGCGGGATTTGCATTCGTGAGTCATGACTCAGACTTTGTATGACGTCTTAAATCGATACTCTTCAATAGTCTTCCTGTATGTATATCCCACGTTCTTTTATTTATTTATTTTTAAAGAAATAACTGAAATCATCTCTGTTTGGCGATTATTTCTGAAGACTAATGAATAAACATCACAAATAAAAGCGAATATTTATGGTTCAACCCGTTCAAGTTCACACTTCACAGATCACACGTTAAAAATACAAACTCCCCAAAGGGCCCAAACCCAAGGTATTACATATCATACACAACTAAATACAGAGTGTCAAAGGATGCAAACTACACATTGTATGTTTTTCTCTTTAAAGTGAAATGCTCGTTGCCGCATAAAACATTCAAGAGCTACACAGGCTTGAGGCTACACCTCCAGTAGTAGAGAATCTTACAAAAGAAAGAACCCCGAAATGGATTTTTAACTCGACAAGAAACTAGGATTAGCCGGTATGTAACCGAAAATCTATGACTTGATGGTATGCATCACAAACCTCTGTGCCTGGACATGATGTAGTGTTCTCACACCGCATGTGTACTTAGGCCAATTCGACCTGTCAGTATACGAAATATGAAATTTATTTTAAATATTACGTTGGTCATGACTTACTTAATACATGGAATGATTCCAAACTTTAATCTTAGTTTGGAAAACTCTTCAGATTATTTTTCTAAGTGCAAGAGCGTGAAAGCGAGCTAATGTGAATATGTTACATAAATTTAGTCACATCCGTCATCGTCAACAGGTGCATTTGCAAATTAATATGTGGATGATAATACTACTATTTATATTTATATATTTCCTTATAAATATT